AAATGTAAAGTTAATGAAAATATGAATAGAAAAGCAATTTCATTTAAAAAAATTAAGTTTTTTATATTTTTTGCAGAAAAAGTTAGCAGAAAAATAAGAAACCAAAAACAAAAAAACAACAAATATTCAAAACAAAATTTAGTAAATAAAAACATAATAAAATAAAAATATAACAACTAAAACACCAACCATTACCAAATAGTAAGAGTAAGAGAGTTTAACTAACGATTTTGTAAAAAAAAAATATTTTTTGCTGAAAAAGTTAACAGAAAACAATCTAAAAAACACAAATAAAAGAATATAAAAAGAACGATTAAGAAACAAAAAACAAAAAGAAGAAAAAACAAGCAAGGAAGCGCTAAGTTGTAACCTTGTAACCGAACATATTATACTTTGCCACTGGTAAGGATCAAAGCCAGGGAAATAAATTCAGGTGTAGGCAAAACTTTATATTAAACAAGTAAGGAAGCGGGTGTAGCCGAACTTTTTGCAACGTGCAAGGAATCCGCCTATTTTCACAATGTGATATATATACCGAATTCGGTTGAAATTGGTGGAGTAGGTCCGGATGTGACCTAAATATGGGTGGTGCCACGCCCATCGTCCAATTTTGACACCAGCTCTTATAAAGCTCCGTTGTATTATGCTGGGTATAAAATTAAATGTCGCTGGCGCATTTGGTTTTTGTTTTATCGTGCTTTAAGTAGTTTTTAACAAAACCGTTATATGACGATAGGACGGGACTACAATCTAGGACTTGTACTAAATGATTTTGGTTATTGTAGTTTCAGGAGATATGTACATTAAGCTTATTAGAGGGCGGGGCCACGTCCATTTTTTTTTTTAATTTTTAGTTCACAGATGCCGCTTGCTACTGTAATACCCTGTATCCAATAACATAATTATACTAATAAATATAATAGTTTATTTCTTAATTTAATGCTTAGTTATGGTATTTTATAGGTTTTCAATTAATGGCATTTTGTGGGCGTGGCAGTAGTCCGATTACGCCCATCTACAAACACCTTCTCACTTTTTGGCCAGGAAAACGTGTACCAAGTTTATTTAAGATATCTTAATTTTTACTCAAGTTACAACTTGCAAAGACAGATGGACGGAAAGACAGTCACTCGGAACTAAACTCGTCTCCTCATACTGATCATATATATAAATATATATCCCTATATCTAAATTGATTATTTTTAGGTGATACAAACAACCGTCCAGTGAACAACACTATTATACTCTGTAGCAACATGTTGCAAAAGTATAAAAATGTTTGCGAAACATTCAACATTTATTATTCGACGAAATTGTAAATGAATAACAATCTAATTTGGTATTTTATTAAGTTATATTATAGGGCATAACACACTTATATTGGGGTTAGTGGAAGATTTCACTGATTGCATTAACCTTTGCCATTACTAAATTATACTCAAGGACATATATCTATGCAATTTTGTGAAGATATCACTGTTCTACAGCATTTTTGTTGCCCTGGATCGGTTTCGGATATATTTGTACCCACAAATTATGAAACTATCAATGATTTTATAAGATTTGCTCTCGTTTATTTTTAAATCCTTATTTTCAATTTATATTACAAAAACCAGAAAACACGAACAAAATAGCAGATATCTTTATTATGATAGTTTTGCTTTGGAAAAATAAGGGTACATCAAAGTAAACAGAGAGAAAATTGTCGAAAACATATCACATATACTCTAATAAAACGCCTTTTTTAAGCTTTTCTTTTATAATTTTTCAGTTGACAATTTCTTTTCAAGCACCAGCAGTAATCTGTCATCATATCACGATCACTTCAACCTTTAAAACTTTTATTCCATCACTTTTAGATCCTGGTTGAACCGCTCTCTCTCTCTGTTTCTCACTATAGTTTCCAAAATTATCCGAAAATGTATCCAGATGATTTCGGAGATAGTCTAACTTGATACTTTGTTCCTAAAGTCTGACAATTTGTCAGCATATTTTGCGTAATTTCTTCATAATTTGGTATTTTATGATTACCCAGAAATTTTTCGACTCTCAACATAAAACTTCTACACGATTCACTTTCCATAACAGTCATTTAAAAAATCTGCATCTTCTGCATTTTCTATAAATGTAATTAAAATAATATCCTTCCACGTCCAACGTTTCGACAAATTGTTTTATCTTTCCTAACTTGATCACGTATTAAAACACTGAGTTTATTTTGAGAATATAACTTTGGCGTAGATTTTTCACATTCCTCCCTGTCACTTCCCCTAATAGATTATACCGATTTCTCCGAATTTTGAGGCATCATTGTTTCTGAGCGCATGGGATTTACAATACTTTTGAAAAGCAAAGGGAGATCTTGTTTGAGTATAAGTGGACATTTAGTAGACTGTAGCTTTAGATATCTCCAAGTTTGGATTTTAATAAAACCTGCAAACCTCTCGCTTAATTTTTCGCATATTTTCGGTAAAGAGCTTGAGAGTGCGGATAACGAGAGCTCGTATGTGCGAAAAATGGGCGGCGAAGCCTAATCATGACTGGCAAAATAAATTTTATTACTAATAAGCCTATAATTGGTCAAAATATAAGAAATGCCGTAATTATAAGCACGAGAGCACATTCAATACTTTTTTGAATAAATTCGTTATTCTTCTTCTTCAAGAAAAGATATGGTTTTTGTAGAGCTGTGAAATTCTCAAACTGACCGACATATTAGGCACAAAGTTTGCTGAAATAACGAAAATAATTATATGTAGCATAAAGAGGTTAGAGTTGGGTAACCATATTTATACCGTCAAAATGCGGGACGGTTTTCTTAGTCATCGATTTTTCCATATTATAATTCACTGTAAATCGCGACATATAATAAGTAAGAGAGCAACACAATTTTATTCAATTCATTCTTTTTTTTATTTCTAAACCCGGGACGGCCGAGACGCTTGGTTCGGAATCTGGACTGTCGCGACCAAACCGCTCAGCTAAGGTTAGATTAACACATGAACCGAGTTCACACATTCTCGGCATGAAACTATAGCATATCCAGTTTTACATTCTTACTTAACTTTTCTAAGTAGCTTATATATTGACCGATTAATACGGTATAAAGACAACTGAAAGTTTGCAAATTTCTATATTAGATATATGTAGGCTAAGGGAAGTATTGCCCCGATTCAAGCCATTTTTGACAGGTAGACATACCATGTTTAGGAAAAGAATCTCTCCGCATTTCAATAATAATCCTCAAAGATAGACTGATATTTTTGCCAACAAGTGAACTATATGCACTGGGGTCCACAACCCCAATACCGATATATGGGGGCTTGAACAGTTTTAGTCTGAATTTGGAAAATTTTTAGTCATGAGATGGCATACATTAGAGACACTATTTCTGCAAAGTTTTATCTTGATATACATATTGCTGTTTGATTTGCAAACGTTGAACTGTATCAGATGGAATTTAAAAATATGTTATATGGCAAGTATGGTAGACGTGGTTCTTGTTCGATGTTACGCATTTTCTTTTTATAGTATACAATTTTGGGAACAATTGTCTAAAGTGAAACCGGCTTCTACAAAGTCTTTCCGTAGCATTTTTGCAGAAAATTTTAATGTGTCTGATCGCATTTTTAGTAGTTTTCAACATTACTGTTATATGGAGAATAGGCGGGGTTACGATTCGATTTCACACATTTTCACACTGTCGCAAGGAATAAAAATTAAATTTATATGGAGCAAATTTGGTTGATTTGATTTTGGTAGTCAAGGAGGTATACACATTAAACCTGTTAACAGCTACATCCTATAATGACTGATTTCAGATCTATATCTTAAAAATAGAGTGACTAATGCGTTTATATACAGACATATACACATGTGCATATGCATATATAATATATTTATATTATTTATTTGTTTCTCTGTTCTACTTTAATACCTATTAGCATACTTTAAGGCGCTACATGGATGCTACTCTAATTTTACTTCCGCTAAAAGCAATAGCATACCACTCTCCACCTACAAAAAACAACTATGCAAAAATGAACTCCGTAGGTCATTGATATTTACATGTTTGTTTGCATAGATAAGTACTCATTCCAATAACACACACACAAATACATGAACGGTAACAAACACTAGCAGTGATAATAACTGAATTAGATTCTAGTCACGCGCGTGATATAAGTTGAGGCTTTTACAAGGGCGAACAAAAGACGTGACGCTGATTTGCCAAGCATGTCAATTTAGCAAAATAGGCTTTGCCAAATATATATAGACAAATACTTATAAACATTTATATATGTGTGTGTGCGTTAAAACACAAAGAACTGTTGCGCTGCTTACAGCGAGTAGCGGTAAATAATTGCTAAACAACAACAAACAAAAAATGCGCAGCGTTTTCACTAATTCCACGGAAGTTTTTTAGACATTTTGTGGAAGAGAAAACTTTTCTAAGCTGATTTATGTAAATTGCCTGAATGGAATATGTCAAAAAAGGTTGAAGAATCCATTTGAAAAGCACTTAATAGTGTGTCGATTGCTTTGCATTAGCAATTTGATCATGCCATCGTTGCTATTTCGTTCGCAGTCGTATTCGTACGCGGTCATGCCGGTGACGTCAAGCTTCTCTGCTGATATGGAAACGCCTTATTTATAATGACTGTGGGAATTTTCGGCTACAAAAACATATTTTGAATTTTCCTTTGCAACGTGCGAAAGTTGCACGCTTGAATGGCTTAAAAGAGGCGCTTAATTCAATGCCGTTCTTCAGATAAGCGTTAAGAGAAAGATAGCGAAGAGTTGAGAGAGTGATAGAGAGGAGTTAAGAGAAAGATAGAAAAAAGTTAAGAGAGTGAGAAAAATAGGTGAAGGGTAGAACAGTTACTCTGAAATGTTTGGAAGTTATTTTATTAAGAGTCTATTAATTGAAAGACTGTTTATATTTGAAATAATTTTTTCATGCAAACTTTATTTATGCTTTTCTATATTTCTCTTTACAGCATCATAAAATATTCTTCAAGTGCCGTAAACGCAGTTAAACGTCAGTAAAGGTAAGTTAATAATTAAAAATTAATGCAATTTTTTCAAGCCGCTAGTGAAACAAGTGCTATAGACCTCAAATCTGGAAAGAATGAGTCGTCAACTAATGAGAAAATTTAAACCATTTTTTCTTATTACACAATTTTTAGAATGAATTTATCAAAATGATTTAAAAGACCTAAAACTATTTGGAATAAAGTTGCCACCTATCTAAAAAAATTATCAATATTTTGCTTATATATCCCAATTTTAACAAAGTATGTATAAAACCGAAACGATTTAAATAGCTTAAAAATATTTTGAATAAGGTTGCCACCTATTTTGGCTTAAAATGTATGGTTAGGATAAATATTTTGCTTCCATAAGGAGTAAAGAGGTGTAAGAAAGGTTAGAATTGAAAATATGTATGAAATGAGTTGAGTTGTGGTAAACACTATCCTAAGAAGGGTTGCTTCTAAAAAATTCTTAAAACAATTCTGAAAAGTATTGCCAGCTATTGATGAATGAGATAAATAAGACACTATAATACAATTTTTTTTATTATATCCTAATTTTTACTTATGTAACAAATCGAAAAGATTTAAGTGATTTACGTTTATAAATACTTTAAGAAAGGTTGCCACTTATTTTTCAAATTAAATTTTATGGATAAGATAAACATTTATTTACATAAAGCTCAAGCTTATAAGATGCAAGGAAGGTTATAATTGTAAATATGTATGGGAAGGGTTCCTTTTTAAAAATTCTTAAAGCTATTTTTAGAAGGGTTGCCATCTAGTTACAAATTTTTGTGCGTTTATACTGATTGACGAAATATAAGAATGTGTTTATCAAGTGCTCTAGACCCAACAACTGGAAAAATGAGTTACCACCTACCTGTAAATTTTAAACCAATTTTTTTTATTATATACCAATTTTTTACAATATATGTATCAAACTGAGGTGGTCTCAGCGACTTACACTTAAAAATATTTTTAGAAGGGTTGCCATCGACTTTGCAAATTAAAATGTATGAATGATGAAGCAACAAGCTAAACAGGTGTAAGAAAGGTAATAATTGGTTGTCAATAAATTAATAAGGTATTTAATGAGTATGAATCTAAAGTTGTTTAAAGCGAAAATTAAATACATTTTGTTTAAGAGTTACCACCTTATTTTTATTCCAAAAATATTTATCTATTAACGAACTTTTAAGATGGGCCTCAGACTATAGAGATGAAAAATATATTTGAGAAATGTTGCCAGCTAATTAAAAATTTGTTAACCAACATATGTAGTCAATAACAATAATGAAATACTAGAACATGAATATCACACAAAAAAATGCTTTAAGAGCCTTTAGGTTGAAAAAAATTTTAAGAACGTCCGCAGCTTAGATAAATTTTCAATATGAGCATAAACTAGTCCATAAATAACTAGTTAAAAAATATGATTGTTTTGTGTTACTAATGAGTTGCTTCTACGAAGGAAACGACAAGAAATCATTCACAAGAAATTATTGGCGGTAGTAGTGATAAGAATGAATGACGTTCCTTATTTTCCGTTAGAGGAAGTACTTTTTTAAACAATAATCTGTCGAACTGATCCATCGAAATTGATTTAAAATAAATTTTCTATAAAAATTAATGAATAAACAAAATATAGTAAAAGTAACAACTAGTGGCGTAACTACTTCCGTAGTAACTAACTGAAGACCAGTTCACTTTAAACTAGTTAATAAATTTTCTTTAACTAACTAGTTACAGTTTGCTCTCTAACGGATAATTTTCATAATGATTTTTTTGCATAGAGTTAATGTCTAGTTAACTCCAGTTAACCTGTGACTCATCTAAAGTTTTTGATGTTATGTAACAGAACCAAATAATTTTAAAAATGCATTACAACATACCTGAGTACTCGATAATTCCACACAGCCATTCCACACACTGTGCTGTCAAATCCGTTGACCTGCAACTGAAAAAAAATCAATTCAATTCAAAAAGTTCCATAACCAAACAAGTAAAAGCGTAACCCTAGTAAGAATACTTAAATAATTCAATTTATATTTATAAATCTCCCGACAGCTTTCAGTTACGAATATAATTATTTAAGTTTAATACAAAACATGTAAATGCAAATGTGTGCAAAAGAGGCTAAAAGACCTCTCACTACCGCCACCGCTACACGCACGCACGCTCGCATAGCAAGCATTACTTTGTTACGTCAATTGATTGAATTTCTGATTAAGTTGCATTGTTTATTCAGGCATTGATTTGTTGCCGCGCTGGCAGCATGGCAGGGCAAAACGTCGCACAAGTGGCATACCCATGCATATATGTGTATGTATGTGTGTGCGTACAAAAACGTAGGTGCTGCAATTATAAATACAATTACCTTTGCGAGAAGGACTCCATGTCCACTGCTATCAATAGCACCTTAATTAAATGGAACAATGCTGCTTTATAAATGTGGCACAAACGGCGAAAATAAGTTGCACATTTATGCATTAAAGTCAATGAGATAAAAGTAAGTCAATGGCGTCTAGTGATGGGCATACAGAAATGGCAGGTGAATGTACACAAACACACATATACACTCAAACTTAAATACAGTAGAGTATGCATACATTATAAGAATTAATATAATGGGTGGTACTGATATGAGTAATACAAATCATATATGTAAACGAAAAGCAGTAACGTAGCACTATTATTTGGGCGGGAGCTCGAAAAAAATAAATTTGGCAATTGTTTCAGGAGCGTAAGATTTTCGAGAATATTTTTTTTTTATTAAAAAAAGGTCGTATAATAGGTATTAACCGAAAGGAAGAATATCCACATATTCGACCTATAGGGACACCCAAATATAATGAACCAATTTTATCCAATTTTGGCATCAAATCTCAAATTCACAGCGATACATCCTCACCAAGTTTTATTAAGACATCTTACATACGAACCGGGATATGTGAGTTAATATTAACTGGATGTATAGAAAGCCGTAACATCGGTATATGGGTGCTAGGGAAAAATATTGACCAATTTCACTCATTTTTAGTAACAAATCTCAATAATCGGTAGCGGTACATCCTTACCAAATTTTATTAAAATGGAAGTAAGGAGTTCCCTTGTATCGGTATATGACAGCTAGGGAAAATCATTGATCAAGTACTAACTCACAATAACCTCAGCGTTATATTCTCAGCAAAGTTTGTTAAGATATCTCGAAGTATACAGTTTGATATTATTTGTGTAAAATATGTGAGCTAATTGAAATTATAAAATGATTTCATCTCTTTGCGGCACCAAATTATAATATTTAAAACAAGATGATTTCGCCAAATTTTTTTAAGATGTCTCCCTTATAAGCCCATATAATTGAGATTATACTAACCCGAAATACGGAAATTCTGAGTATTGGTATATCACACCTATAGGAAAGCATTGAAATATTTCAACAATTTTTGGTACCAAGACACAACAAGCTAGCGCTACATTCTCACAAAATTCTGCTGAAATATATGACGGCGATATATGATAATAATAACAAGTAGTTCGCCAATTATTAGTTTACCATAGTTGTATGAGATCTTAATCATTAATCGATTTCAATATTTTTAGTTACCATATCAGATTATTCTAAACGAAATATTCTAACGAAGTCTCATGTTGAGATCTCACCTAGCGACGGAATTATGGGATACAATATTAACCAGAAGTACGGAGATATTTATTTTGCGGGTATGCGAGCTATAAAAAAGGATTCATCTATCTCTTTAATTTTTGGTACCAAATCACAATGTTCTAAAAACTGTATTCTTACCAAATGTCATTGAGATATATTTCTGACTAACCAATATAATATACACAATTATGGAATAAAATTAACCGGAAGTACAGAAATTCCTATATTCGGTATATGAGAGTTATGGGAACTTATGAACCGAATTCACCCATTTTTGATACAGTCATATGTATACCTATGTGTTTGATCATCTTATTTTACGCTTCTGAAAGTTTTCTCTGGATACTTATTGCACTTTTTGGTTGTTTTAAAATGTACATAATGGTAGGTGGGCGTGGTTATGCTTATCTGATTTTATTCATTTTTCATCGTAACTTGTGATAATAAGTTATTTAGTTTCCGCAAATTCTGTAGAGAAAGCTGTAAAAGCTTAAGGCATACCAACATTAAATTTATTTCAAGGTAAGGCCACGCCCACTTTTTTTTATTTGTTATCTACTGCCGAAACCTGCGATTGTTTGGTGTTCTTTAAATTGTTGACAAAATTATTAGGTCAGAATTATACGCTGTGCAATACTACAACAAGCAACATGTTGCAAGTACACAACTGCATTGCAGCATATGAACCAGCCTGTCATGCGAAAGTTCATTTATCAGCAATATAATTGTCTTTTAATTAGTTCATTCAAACAAACATAAATAAAATAGCGAATAAAAGGAATTTATCAATCGTCTGACGCACAGCTATCTGCATTGTTGGTTGGAAATAAATTTTCACTCAAATGACAAAACATCAGTTAAGCGTCACTCATTTGTTGTTGACTAAAATTAAACACTTTCTACATGACTTATTACTCTTATCAGCTCGTTTTGGCATTTTATCGCATTTAAAACACAATAGTTGCGCGGCTGTAGTGTTAGTTGCATGTAGTATGTGTGTGTGTGTGTGTGTGATGGAAATTAACTTTCGCGATAAAATCATTCTATCACCGCGGCCACCCGCTAACCGTCATTAGGGAGTTACGTACAATGTACCGTTATTGGGAGCAATAATTCACGAGCACGCATCGGCGACACAGATTGGCCGACACAAAGCGCATTGATATCGTAAATCGAGCAAAAACCGCTTACGCGTGGTTTTGTGGCACTTGATGGCCCAATATTTGAATTGTAGTATGCAAAAACGGTGAAAAAAAAGTGTGTATACAATTTCGTATGATAAATGGATTATGGATGGATTGCAACTGAAGTTAACGTTTGCTCTTGTTTTTAAATGTTTATAGAGCGT